TATCATTTACATATTAATAAAACATTTTTTAAATGAAGGCTTTCTTCTACTAAACTTTTTGTCATTCCGTCACGGTCATTCCGTCACAGCAAATAGATGTTAATAACTGCTAGCCAACCTGAGGTTAATTTTCCAAATTCACATTTTACATTGCTTACACATTATACTAAAAGTATAAAATAGTTCAGAAAAATAATAGCTGCAAAATTCGCAGAAACTACCAGTTCTAAGCGGCATGCCAAAAGCTTGGTTGCCAAAATGTCATTCCGTCACGCAAATAAAAAGTTCGTAAAATTATAAGTAAAAAAGATAGAAAATCCTGTTTTTTTAGTTTATGAAGCGCATTATGCCAATAATAATGATATGCATGAGAAATTTTTTTATTTATTTGAAATTAGGTACATAGAAACTTCAATTAATTGTTATTTTGCAAGTCAAAATGTCATTCCGTCACATATGGAATTGCCCAGGTGTTTAAAATAAATTTTCTCCCAATTAGTATCCTTGAAAAATTTGATTTCTGAAATTTTTATTTCATTTCAATATTTTATTCAAGTCAAAAGTATCAAAATTATTTGTGATAAGACAATTGAAGAGCTAAAGACAACAGAGTGAGAAGTTATATATTTTTTCTAAATGGGACACTTTTTCAGCAAACTTTTTCTTAATATTGTTTTCAGATAGGTATTTGGGGGGGAGGGATTTTCAGAATTTCCTCTGGATAGAATTTCCAATACAAAGAAACATTTTAATAGCTTACAATGAGATTGAGGTGATTTTCACATTTTAAAAAAATGCTTTTCTGAATAAATCGAAAACATGCCTTATCATATTGCCCCAAATTCTTTCTATTATAATTAAGTAATATATTAATTCTCATTTTACTAATTCTTTTATGAATATTGATTGTTATTTTCATCCTTTCTTTCTTCCTCTCTCACGATTTCTTTTATTTATTTATTACCATAATGTAAATTACTAATCATTTTACATGACTAACTAATGTTCATTTGAAGAGCGTTTCAATTCCTAATGTCTCTGCTCATGTTCAAATACTTTTTTTAAAGAATTTAATGATTTGCTTTGCAATAAAATGAGACAAACCTGTTCTACAAGTTTATTTGCAATGAAAGCTGCAAAAATGCCATTACTGACAAAAAATGTTTGTCAATGTAAATGCAATTTATTTCTAATCTATCTATTTTTTTTTTACATTAGCAGATTTATTTGAAAAATTTTATAATAAAATATGCACTTACCAAAACTACGTAACTTTAATTTAAAATTATTTGTAATTTTAGCTTACCAAAATATTTGAGAGTAATTTTTCGATTGCTTCATGAATTATAAAATGAATGAGATTTTTATTTAAAAAAATAAATAAAATTTGTTTTTTTTCTTTTTCAAAACATTAAATTTAAAATATTTTATTTAAAGAATTGTTTTCGGGTAAACCTTAATTCATTTTTATGGGTAAATTAAATCTCCCAGAATAAGAGACGTGAGGTAGGTAGTGAGCATCAATCATACATTCCCGAAAAATATTTTTATTATTACATACATAATTGCCATTTAAAAATTAATAAAAGTTGTTATACCTTTAAGAAGCAGTTAACGAATAAATTAACAAAAATGGTTTCTGGTTAATACGTTACTGGTTGCTAAACTGGTTACTGGTTGACTGGGTTAATATATACATTAAACTTGTTATCCAAAATATATTAATAAATAGGGGAAAATAAATATTTTATTTATTTTATTCGAATTTACGACAATGGTGTTTATATTATATGCGTCTGTATTGTGTATATATTATATATACAATTTGTTTATATTCGGGACAAAGATCNATTAAATAATCCGACAATATTTTGAAAGTCCAAAACCGAAACTAACGGTAAGTCGAACTTCCGATAGGTCGAAGTTTTTCGTCAGTCCTATCAGATTCGAGTTATCGCGAATTCACTGTATATACAATTTGTTTATATTCGGGACAAAGATCTTTTTATTTATTGCTTTATATATTTATTTATTACATAAGTACGACTTATAAGCCTTTATCAAGTATAAATACAGATAAATAGATAGTACTATTCCGAGAGGGACAGCGTGAAGTTACATACACAGTTACAGTGGGTTTCGAACCAGTTATCTCCACTCAACAGAGCGTTTGGTGGGCGATGCCGCTCTGAAAAGGGAATATATATGTACAGGCTTTAAGCTTGGTTAACAGCTAATTTAGCTACGTTACAAATTGAAAATTTGACTGGTTGTCCATTGCCAAATCATGTGAACTAATGCCGTAGCCTCTACTTCCGACAAGGGGCCGTGGTAGCCCAGTGGTTAAAGAATCGGACTTCGGTCTGGAGGGACCAGGGTTCGATCCTCGACTCCGCTTAGACCCAAGGAGTATATGAGGTATACGTGCTCATAAAATCTGTTGAATCGAAAGTCCAATGGTAGGTCGCTGACAGTGCCATGGGTCCAGGGATGTGGAGAAAATTTCCTTTCCCTACAGATCTATGTCTAAATTGAGGAAGTGACTTGTGATGGCATGTCTTCGGATCATCCTCAGGGATGTTTCCCAGACCGTCGCCAATAGCCCATTCTGCAGCACTAGTGCGACGTAGATAAAGAACCTACCTACTTCCGTCTAGAAAGTAGGTGGCTACTTACTTAAATTAATTGCGCAAGGCGTTACTTATCAATCGCATATTTTGAAATGAAAATAAGGTAAAAGCTTTCGTTGAGCTCGTTACCCGACTCACTGTACGATACACGATACGGGGAAAATAATTACGTTTTCTAGTGATTTTAAAGTGAAAATTCGTTACATTGTTAAAAACAAGCGTCTCACTAGTGCTTTATTTGGAGAGAAGTCTTTATTTAACTCAGTTTCATAAAAGTTTCCGTCCCGCAGTGGACTGATCGTTTAGACAAGGTTCCCAGCAGATCACCGAAGTCAAGCATCACTGGCTACGGTCAGTGTGCGGGTGGGTGATTACTTGAATCAGTCTGCGTAGGGACCGAGGGTGTGCGGTATTGGTCCTCTTTAAACTGTGCCTCCGTAAAGTGCTCGACTTCGAGCGCAGGTCGTCGGGCTACCGAAGCGGGGGTGCCATCCCCTCCACAGAGGATCAAAATTGTGATGGCATGTCTTCGAATCATCCTCCGGGATGTTTCCCAGACCGTCGCCAATAGCCCATTGTCAGCTCTAGTGCGACGTAAATTAACAACAACAGCAACTACATAAAAGTTTCCGTTTTCTGTTTTCATAAGAAGGAAACGTCGAACCTTTTTTTTGGAAATTAATTAGCCTTCTTCGTATAAGATCTTCGTATCGTGATCTGGCAACTTCCGGGCAGCGGCCCGCATGAAACTAAAACAAAACTAACTCAGAAATGGATCAATTCGTGGAGTAAAACCACTGTTCAGAAAACCCATTTGAAAAAAGTATAATATGAGAAAAAAATACTTCTTGTTTTAGGTTTCCTCTTCGTCTCAATTCAAAAAGCAATAGCACCTGTTTTGATTCATTTAGAAGAAGAAAAAAAAAACGCGTGCAATGCTTTTTTAAGTAGTTTTAAAAATATTGTATTGTTATTTGCACTAATGTGCAGCAAGTATACATTTGACGACTTAGAGGGACTTATTAATAAAGATCTTATTTTGAATTTACGGAAACTGGTATTTCCAGAGCCATGTCGCTGTATTACTATGAGTTTTAAAATGTTTACTTCTTTTTAATATTCTGTAACAACTTTATTATATGATCGCTAGCTGCAAATGTAGAAAAAATTTTTATTGTAATGTTTTTTGTTCTTCTGTTATTTACTTTTCTTTAATTGTTTATTTAGAAGTCTGAGTGGAAATTGTATGTAATAAATGTGATTAGATAATCTCAAATCAGAAATTTTTGTTGTTGTTTAGAATTTCTCTTCAGAGACTTTTTTTTAGATAGAACCATAAATAACTTAAAATTAAATTTTAATTTTAGGGGGGGTTCTAATTGATGCTTATTTGAGGTTAAACTTTAATTTCAAGCTTAAATTCAAAAGAAAGATGTAATTCTGCACAAAACAAAATCAACATTTTAATTCATTTTATAAAATTTTGTGTAGAATATTCTTTTGAAATCTTTTAGTTTTCTTTAGTGGTTGAATTTCTTTTCCCAAATTTATCTTAATTTCAAAGTTAAAAATTTTTTAAGTCAAATTTTTACCCTTTTTCTCATGTTAAAATTTTTAAAAAAATTAGGAATTTTTAGTATTTTGCAAGATTCATTGCTTATACTCTTCTTCTCAGCAAAAATAAGCAAATCACAACCTACATAAGTGCTTTTTTACCATTTGAACAACCCCTTTGCAATAATCACTAATAAGTGTGACATATTTTATTAAAAAATACTTTGAAACGACCCTCAGTTTGAACTGAACAGATTATTTTGTTACCGTTTTCTTTACAAAAGCATAAATAACATTTTTGAAACTTTCTTCGATAAAATAATCATTCTAATTTTTTAAGATAAATATTCTTAAATAATAGGTAAAAAAATATAAATGATTAATCATGAAAATATAATTGAAAAAAAAAACTGCAACTTTGTAATTTTTTAGGAGCACTTTATTTTGTTATAAGAATCTCATGTGATTTTACATCCGCTATAATACTTTGTCTAATTTTGGGGAGAGATTTTTCAAATTGAAGGACTCTTTTCATAATTTTCTTAATCTTGACATCAAGATGACTTATACTAATTGTGTTTGAAAGAATTCTGTGTGAATTTGTACTAGTATTAACCATAGATAACTTCAATTAAAGAATAAAAAGCGGCATTAAAAATATCTTTCATTGTAAGTAATGGAATATTGCTTTATTCCTTCAACTCTAGTCTTTAATTAAAGTTGTATTTATTATTATTACATTTTTTTAGTAAATATGACTTATAAATAACTTTCTTTTGCTTTAATACATTCTAAAATTAAGTTATTTACTAACAGGAAGTCGCAGGCTGACCTTCATCTGCTGGAAGAGGCCATCAACATCCGGCGTCGAGAGAAGCGCTTTGACCTGCACGCCACCTGCAATATTTGTTTCAAAACAAAGTTTGCTGACGGTGTTGGCCATATTTGCCAACAATGTGGCGTTCGTTGCTGTGCCAGGTGCGGCTGCAAAGTGCCATTAAAGAAAAACAAGGTACAAAACATTGCATTATCACTTGACATTACATACATTGCAGCATCCACATTTTGTCTGTAAATTTATGTATGGATTTTGTGGGGTAAAATGGGGTATTCTACCATAATATCTCCTATTAAATAAAATTTTTGATTCCTTGTAAAAAATAAATTAAACAAATGGATACTTTAGTGATAGCAAACAAATGTTGAAGAGAAAGAAGAAAAAAACAAGTGTTATAAAAATTTGATAAGTCTATAGCAAGGAAAGTTATATTAAAAGTATCAAAACCTATGTAATTGATGAAAGAGGTAATGTAAGATTATGAACAATATTTTTAAGCTTCATTTAGCAATAAAGCTGATTTTGTAGATTTCAATAATGTTCTTGTTTTCCGTTCTTTATTTTCATATTTTTTTGCTGCAAGCAGCATATCAGGATTAGCTTTTTATGAAAAGCATTTAGTTGCAAGTCAAGCTTTTGCATAAACCTTAAAAATAAACCTTTAGCTATGCAAAGTAAAAACTTTATTTTATAAACTCTCTAATTGTTACGTATTCTTAAATTTTCTAAATATTCCTCGAGCTCCTAGTTTTCATTTTCATTGTAAGAAGGTACTTTGGGATTATCCCGTCGTCTTGTCAACACTCGGGAAAATGTGCAAATCCTTTGCCATCATCATAATGAAAAGCAATTTTCAAAATAAACTTTCTAAACGCATTTAATTTATCAAATAATAATAATAAATTAATAATAACAAAAAAATGTTAAGAGTATAAATACATAATAAAAAAGTGTAATAGGAAGAATTGAAATGAAGTAGAAACCTCTATTTTTTTATATTTACACATTGAATTAAATTAATTGAAAATATACCTCTGCACTCTCTGCAATGCTAGGCAAATCCCAAATTTGAATCAGTTTGTAGCGGAGTAAAAAAAACACATTATATTTTAATACGCTAAACAAAACTAACTCACGTAGTCAAGGATTACACAGTAAATATTATGAAATTTGCAGTTATTGGTGCAGAAGATACCTTTTGGCGATAATATCGGATTTGGCAAAAATGGTGGTGTATGGGATAATCCCAAAGTACCGGCAATTCTTCAACTTTGGCCTCCCACTCACTACTTCTTAAATTCTATTACAGTTCAGTGTGTCACTAAAACAAGGAATGTCAATAATCAGTTAAAGCATTTAAAAAGTTCAATTTTCTGAGAGTAATTGCAACTTTTAATATTCTTGTTCAGCATACCTGCCAAGTCTCCTGTTTTTTTAACAGAGACTCCTGTATTTTATGACTATCTCCTGTTTACCCCTATATTCTCAAATTTCTCCGTATTTATTGAAGAAATATTTAAAGCAAATTTGGCTATAAAATATCTGCTGATGGCAAAAATACTTCTCTTATTCCTCAACAGATGGTGCTATTGTCAGTACTGCAGCAGGTGGAGTGTTTATAGTTTGAGTAATTATAAATAATGGTTTAAAAAAATCTTCTTTAGATTTATATACATATTTTTTACTGTAATTTTGTAAGTACTGTAATTTCCATATGTAAGTGCTTATATTATTTTCAATTTGGAATTTCAAACTCTGCATGATGGAATACATGACGTATCAAAACTTAACTCGTAGCCTAAAAATGTCGCTAGTAAAATCTCCGTTATTTTACTGTTCCAATGTTGGCAGGTATGGTTCGAAATAGGAACTCCTATTAATAGTTTACTCTAGGGTTGCATCATCATCTCTTACTTGGATAATCTTTTTCCGAACTAAAATTTGTCAACTTTGGGAATCAAAAGCTTATAAAGTGATTCATTCAAAATATATCATACTGCTCTTTGTTTTTAGTTGGGCTATTTATTCTATATTCATTATGACTTTTATAGCCCCTCAAATAAACTTTCTGCAGATTTTCTATCACAGTTTTGATATATTTGTTTGAGTTCATTTACATAGTTTTTATACTAAATATTCGCAAACATTTTACATTAAAATGTCTATTTTATGCTTTCCACTGTTCGAGAGAATTTAATAAGTGCCTGTCAATGCAGAATAAAACTTCACAGCACTCTAATACTTATATTCTATTGGTTAAAATTCGTGTATGGGGCTGTTCCAAAAGTATGTACAAAAAAATGAAGAAATTTTAACCCCCTCCCCCCTTCAGACATTACCGTACATAAGGTCTTACTCCCTCCCTTAAAGTACGTACATTTTATTAGTCTATCCTCTTTTTCATAAAAACTAAAATAATTATGCTTTAAATAAAATTAAATATTTATTTAAAATAATTTATTCATTTAAATTATTTAAACAATAACACCCAACTTTATCAGGGTGCGTAGAGTTTGTAAAAAGTACTTAAAGGTGCTTTTTTGGGGATTTCGTTTTTAAAAGCTTTTAAAGGTGCTTTTTTCAGCTGGCGTTTTTAAAAAGTGCTTTTTTCCGAATTTTTTTTTCCCTCTTCAGTGATATCTGGTGAATCCCATGCATTTCACGAAAAATGGGGAGTTGCCTACGTAATCATTCACGCGGACTTCATGTCGTACCCACGTTATGACTTGCGCATGCGCGCACACTTGAAACCGAAACCCGAGTGCTCCAATTCGNTTTTTTTTTTTTTTTTTTTTTTTTTTTTTTTTTTTTTTTTTTTTTTTTTTTAACGCAAAAACTGTTTATAAAAAGTTTTTGTTTTTCAATAATATCATTGATTGAATATGAATTTTTTGAGTGCTTAAAATTTTTTGTAAAGTGCTTGAAAAGTTTTTAAAAAGTGCTTATTTTTGATTCAAAGATTTGGCTACGCACCCTGTTTATCTGTGGTGTATAAATTTGGTGTATGCTTATAATGTACGTACTTTGTATAACCCCTCCTCATTGTACAAAATAGCAAACCCCCCCTTCAGGATGTACGTACTTTTTGAACGGCCCCTATGACAGATGAAGTAGATTCAGGCTTGGGCTAGTATACTGAAAAAAGGTTTGGGATGGGCTCGGACTCATGATAAAATGTTCATAAATTTTTTTTTACTGCTTTTAATCAAATATTTGGGTCACTAGTTGAGTATAAAATATGTAAAATTGTAATGTAAAAAATTTTACAGAGGTCTGCTACTTCTGTTTGATACTTTTGCTTTATGAGGCTAACACAAATTGTGAAATGTTTTTTATGTAGCTCAAGATTTAGATTTTTAATTTTTGTTTTAGTCCATTAATTTTTCTCTTAACTTTTTGATTTACAAGTTATTGATAATAAAGATTTTCCGATTATTTTACTTGTTTAGAAATCAAAAGCTGAGTGGTGGACAAGAAAATTAGGTCTTCGCCCAACATATGTCTTAGGCTCGGGTGGGCTCAGATTAAAATTCTTTGGACTCGGGCAGGTTCGGACCTCGAAAAGGAAGCCCGAATCTTCTAATTAGTCTCCTCCCTCACACGTTGCTCTTATTTTTTATCTCCGCTATAACATTTGAAACTAAACATTTTCCCATCCATCAGTATAACGACGTAGTTTGCCTCTGTGGGGGGGATGATTAAGCTCCTGCCAAGGAAATGTTAAAGCTCTCTTGAAATAGAATAATTTTTCCTTCTTTTTTTCTTTTTTTTATTCCTAGCACTTGATGTGTACATCATTTGCTGGAGTGTAAGTACACTTCGCACAGACCCATAAGAAATAACAACAAATAAAAAGAATTTAATAACATTAAGACATTCAAAATATAAACAGAAAATCAGTCAGTTAGCAGTGCCTGCAACTGTTCCCTAGCATTCCAGCATCTGTCATAGACGTTGCCAGTAACTGCGGGGCAAACCCTCGGATACCCAGCATTCATTAGGGAGTCCTGCCCACACAAGACACAATTTGAATCGGGAAAGATCTTAAGTCTATGGAGGTGAGCGGCAGGGCAGTTGTGTCCAGTTTCCAACCTAAAGGCAGCAACCACATTGCATATTGGGTGATCAGAGATCTCATTCAGAGTCTCCCTCCAGATCTTGTCACCAATTTGTTCATTTAGATTATTTTCATAACATTTGTTTATCGTGTTTTTAATTATTTTATTAAAAACACAATAAAGAATTAAATTTTTTTAAAATTTTTTTTAGAATTAAGGCAAGAAAAATCTATTTTAATATACAAAAATTATCTATTTAATTGAACAAAAAATATTAATTGAAAAATTGTAATCTTAGAACAGGCTGTGGGCTGTGCCCCATCATCTATAAAATGTGACAGGATTGAGGCCTCTCTGCCCGTTGGTTCCACGGTCTCTGACTACAATTGCAATAATGTAAATATATTTTGGAATACGTTAGTTAATATTTGCTTTTTGTTTTAGATCTGGCTTTGCATTCTGTGCCGTAAGAAGAAGGAGCTGGCTATTAAATTTGGCAAGTGGTTACAGAATGATAGAAAGGAAAGTTGGGGTAGATCGCGTAGTCTGGAGGAGGATTCAGAGAGGAGGCTGGATGCTGGCGGATTTCTTTCGAGGCAGTTTACGTCCTCACTTAACATCACCACTCCTAACCTTCCTCCCTTTTGGCAAGAAGAGAAGAAAGATCCCCAGAAACCTGAAAGGTTCATATAACCTTCTTCATCTATCACAGGCACATTTTGTCTTTCCGTCACTAATCTAGCTTATTTATTTTAATCATTCATGTAGAGAATATATTTTAGTTAGTACAATAGTGAAATTGCACATAGTATCTATTCTTAACCCTAACGCTAGTGTAATCTTGTCTTTCTTAAATGAACATAGAATGAGACTATGTAAGAAGGAAGAGCTTTTTAAACTTATTAATTCAACTCCAGTAACAAAATAAAATAACTTATTAGAAACTGATAACACAATATTGATAAACCCCCTGGTAAATCGTGGCGACATTGTGGCAAAACGTTAGACTTCTTGCAGAAATATTCATAGAAGCAGCATGGATGATTTAAGAAAATTTTAGCATAGAAAAAAAATGCATCAGGGTTTTAATTTGTTACTTTTAACATTAATTACATTTTTAATTATTTTTCGTCCAAGTGCATTATAATTAGTTTCCTATCAGCATTAACTTTCCTATTAGAAATATCTAATTATGCTAAATTAAAACAAGATAAAATTTTGATATTGATTGCTATTTATTCTTTTTTCTTTATAATCTTACTACAGTCAATTCGCTATAACTCGAAGTACGATAACTCGAATATTACTATAACTCGATTTTTTTATGAGGTCCCGACCCTTTTATCTTCAATTTCATGTTAATTATTCTCGATTACTCGAATTTTACTCCCTTTAACTCGATTTTTTTTGGATCTTTTAAAGCAAGAAAAAAAACCTAGGAGCTGATATCTTGCCCCTTCCTTTGCAACACACACACAATGTCTTTCGCACTCTTCATGGAGAAGCTAAAGCTGTCCCTCTTGAAGTATGTGAACAGTGGTTAAATGAAACGTTACCAAATTTACTTCAAGGATACAGTTAAAATGATGTTTTCAATATTGATGAAATGGGTTTATTTTTTAAATGTCTTCCAAATAAGACTATGATGTTTAAGGATGAAAACTGCTCAGGGGGTAAAATGAGCAAGGAACGTTTGACTGTCCTAGTTGGAGGAAATGCGTCTGGGACAGAGAAATTGCCCTTACTTGTTATCGGAAAATACCGAAATCCCCGATGTTTCAAGAATGTAAAAACGTATCCTTTGGATTACAAGTCTAACAAAAAGTTTTGGATGACATCAGTTTTATTTGAAGACTATGTAAGAAAATTGGATCGGAAATTCTTCGCTAAAAAAAGAAAAGTGATACTCTTTATGGATAAATGCACAGCGCATAGTGATCTACCTAATTTGAAAGCAGTAAACTTGCAGTTTCTCCCGCCAAACACAACAGCAAAGTTGCAGCCGATGAACCAGGGTATCATAAAGTGCTTCAAACAGTCTTATCGTAAATGGCTTGTCAGAAAAATGATCTTAAATATTGTAAGCATTTAGGAGATTTGTAATTAATCAGCATTAATTAAATAATCCAACAATATTTTGAAAGTCCAAAACCGAAACTAACGGTCGAAGTTTTTCGTCAGTCCTATCAGATTCGAGTTATCGCGAATTCACTGTATAATTTTTAATAAAAGTCTTGAAAGTGAATTAATTACTGACCAAAGCTAACACAGCAAATATAAAAAGGAAAAAGAAAGGGTGTTTTCGTATGCAGAAAGATTAAATTATCAAAATAGTGAGTGGGAAAAATAAAAAATAACGAGTATTTAAAAGGAAACAAAAATAAAAAGGAAAGAATGCAAAATCTGCTACTAAAATTTTTATTTAATTAAAAGCCATTAATATCCTAGAACTGTTAAGAGAGTTATCATGAAAAGAAAAATCACAAGAAACTGAGCGGAAACCTGAACTTGTTAACGGAAAAATGTCAACTTCAAAAATAAGTCGACATTGAGAGCTCAAAATAATAGACGTTTATTTTGAGTTTATCAATCTAATCATATTTTTTTTGTAGTTAATGAAATTTTTTCATTGACAAGAATACATGTTTTTATTTTTGAACAAAAGTTTACAAAATTGTTTGTTGTGAAAATAAATTAAAAATTTTTTTTTTTTTTTTTTTTTTTTTNTCATGAAATATGAATTATCAAAGTAATTGTATTGTATCATCTATGAGTATCACTTATTTAAGAAAAGAAAAATTTCTCAATGTGTCATATTTGTTTCAGTTTTATATTTTTTAGTTAAATTTCTATTTTCAAATTGTTGAAATTTTAATGCATTTTAACTTAACAAAATTTGAATTAAAAAATGAGCCATTTATCAAGATGAACAAGTGTGCTGAGTTTTTATAGGTGCTGAAAAATTTCTAGTGTATTATTTGTATTGGTCTATAAATGGCATTGTTAAATGCATCACAATTTAAACTGGTTATAACGGTAAAAATTTTGCAAAAACAGTAAAATTAAGATAAAATTTATCTCCTAAACCATGATTAAAAGAGGGGTGATAATTAACAGTAACTTGCAAGGAGTGATTTTGTTGACAGCTGGTGGCTTATTTGTCAAATAGAATATATTTCCTCCTGTGAGTAGTCTGATTTTCACTGTGATTAATTAGGGTGATAAGGCACTGCCTACTGTCTGTTCATCACAAGATGATCGCGAGGTGGAAGGCACGTTGCATTATGGTTACTATGAAAACCTGTTTGTTAACTGCATTTCAGAGAGGTATGACAGAATGCTGCAGTTTGTCTATTTGGTTCTGAGTGGTAGACGTATCATGGGTTAGAATCCCTTACCTTTGAGTTAACTGTAGGAAGTTTTTATGATTTTCCTCTCCATGTGACACAATTGTGGATTATTTCAATTTTTATTCTTCCACAAAGGCTAGTTGGTTCCGATGCTTGATCTAGGTGTTCCTTATCTTTTGGGTTGGGCTCAAAATTACAAGGCTAGGGAGTTAAAAATTGATAGTTATAAGATCTGAATAGGGTCAGCTGTTTGAGGTTAAAAAACAAAATTCTTCTATTTAGGCAAAGAAAAATACTCGATGGATAAATATAATTGATAGGAAGTTTTAGTTTCAACGATGTCACCCCAACAAACATTTCTACTGTTTGGAGCTCATTCTGTGATTGACCGGCAGTGAATTTCATTGTGTTTTTGTTTTATTTTCAAACTTAAGGTTTTCAAAGAGATTCAAATGCAATTTTTAAAATACATGCACTTTCCAAATTGGAAGTGTTCCTACTGAACTTTTAGTGCTGTCTAGATTAGATTTAGGTATAATATTTAAATTTATAATTTATTTTCCAGACCTGAGCCTCTAAGATATGAAATGAAATCTGCACAGTCGTACATCACACAGCAGCAACAGCAGAGAAAGCATCGACGTCGGTCGTCCCTCGAAATTAGGAATGATTCTCTCAGTTCAGATCAATCGGAAAATCCTCCTGCTCGCCCCAAACCTCGAAAGTCAGGCAATGGTGGACATCGTCAGAGACGAGATGGGCCGAGCAGCGGTTCTGAAGATGACGCCCGATCCACTCCTTCCTCGTGCAGAGATTCAGAAAGTGAAATATACAAGGGTCAGTCTCTTACATTTCTACCTGAAAATTTTATTTACTATACATTATTCATGTTGCCATGATTCATCAGCCAATCACTCCCTTTTCAACAATTTTATTTTTTTCTGCAATTGCTGTAAATCAGATATAAAAACAAAAATGAAATGTTCAGATTTCATAAAATGGATTACACCAATTATAAAACTGATTAGTTGTAACTGATGCGCAAAACGAATAAATTGTACCCATTTAAAAAGTTTTCTAAAAGTAAGATTTAAATATTAAAGCTATATTTAAGGTTGCTACGCTACCTAGAAAACTGGGAAAATTCAGGAAATTTGAAAATCATCCCAAAAATTAAGGAATTTAAAATTTTTGATCTAAAATCTGGAAAATTCAGGGAGCTTGATTTGGCAAGTACCAAGCATGCAATCTTTGTGACAACATTTATCATGGAACGCATTTCATATGCAATAGTTTTATTTTTCCTCCATTTGGCACAGAGTTGTAGCATGCATGGTATTGTGACTTAGAAAACTTTCAACTCGGTAAAGGTAATTAGTTGCTAGAATTCAGAACAGATAGAAAGATGGATGAATTTCAGTCCGTCTATTCTTAATTTTTTCTTCTTAAATTTTGAGATAAATAATGTTTTTTTATTCTTAATTTCCTTAAGCCTGTATCACATTAGCTTGATAAATGAATTTAATTATACTTGTCATTTAGAATTTGCAGGAAGCATAGAGATTTTTGTTCCACATGGAAATTATAAAATAATACTATAATATCTGCTCAAAAAAATTTATTTTTCATAATAAATGGACAGAGATAGTGCCTTTTATTTAATCCTTTAGTTTTATTTCATGTTATTTTATTTATTATATTTAAAGATTATAGAAAATAATTATATAATTTGCGCTTTCCTTTTTTCTATCTGTATGTTTTTGCCATTTTATTTTCACTCACAAATATGTTTATACCTCTAATTTATTATTATTTTAATCAAAATAAAAGACGCTTTTTTTAATGTTATTATTTACGTCAAATTACTGTTCTTGTCTAAATTATTCTTTAAAATTTTCCTCATGGACGATAAAGCTTACTTTTTGTATAATTTATCATTTTACTTTTGAATGGGTTTAATTCCTATAAATTGTAACATTAATTCAATATTTTTACATTCATGATTTCTTTTATTTAAAATAAATTAATTTTATATTTTAATAATCATCTCATTCATAAAGTGATATTTTTTATAATTTTATCTCCTCAATATTTTCAATCATGTATATAAAAAATTGTATTTTAATTTGCATAAAGACTTAATACACAATCTTTTTATTTTAAAAATTTCAATCTTGTCCTTTTTTGTATCATGCAGATGCAATGTATAAGGTTAAATTAAAAGGGAATATGAAATTATGCAGGGATAATTTGTCAAAAGTTTCTATTATTGACTCACAAATTGCCAAAATTCTTGTTTTTTGTGTTGGATAAGTGAGATAAAATGTTACATTTTTATTTAAATATTTTTTCTCCTTTATATGATCTATTTCTATTATATTTTATGCCATTTTTCTCTGTAGTGGAGTTTTATTTTTAATTAAAATGAAATATATAATATAATGTATAAATTACAAACATTAATTTTTGTGGTTTACTGTATATTTTATCCATTGCACTGCTAGTACAAGCTGTGATAACAGATCGGAATTTTTTTAACCTGGTGAATTTTATTCTTCTTTTTGAGTAGCAACCTTGTTTATTAACATTTTAGATAGTTAAATAGACAAAATTAGATTGTTAGCCTATTAGTTGAATTACTGAAAACTTACATAATACTTAACTAAATTGTCTAAAGGTTTAATTAAGAAAAACAATGTGTCATATTTTACATCACACTTATGATATCTACATTAAACATTATATGCAATTTTTGTATTTTTAATCATCTCAAATGCTCTTAATCATACATAAAAGTTTGTTCAAGTACTTTTTAAAATTGTGTTCTGAGAAATGCATCAAATTTTGTATTGTAATATTACTACATTTATTTTTAAAATGTTCTCACATTTTTCAGCTTTTTAAATGTTAGGAAATGTTACTAATTGAAGTCATGATTAAAAAAAATTTCCAAATTTTCATTAACTTTAAAAATCACTTTTAAAGAATGTTCAAAAATGAATTTTTCTATCACCTAACTTGCTGCAATGAACAGGTGAAAACATTTCTTTGAAGGATTAGATGTAATTCTTATATTTGGTGGTGATATATTGTTCACTCTAAATATAATCCACTTCAAATTAACTTTCATAATGAGAGAAGAACTCAGACAATTATTTTTGTGCAAAAAATAATTTTAGGAAGAATAAATATCATAAGTTTGGCAAAATAAATATAATTTTGTCGAAAAAGCAAATTAATCACAATTCTATTGGGCAAATTTTCTCTTTATAAACATCTCACTCGCTGCCTAATCCCAAAATGATGGTTAGTGCACAATTCAGAATTACAGTATGTTTTGAGCTACCTAACAGAGGCTCCATTTCAGACTTCTCCAGATGTGTTCAAAAGTCAATCTAAATCAAATTTATAAGGGTTCTGGGAATATAATGCCTCTGCGTCAGAATTGACTAGATTTAGGACAGAATGGATTAATCCACAGTTTAAACCACCCTGTCCAAAATTATCCAAAATCTATTTACTCAAATTATGTCACAATTTTAAAAAAAAGTAATATGAAAAATAAAATGCTAATTTTTGAATGAAAAACAAAATGAAGACTAGTTTTTGTTTTATTAAAAAAGTTTATTATTATCCTTAATATTGTATTCGTTATCCTTATGCAAAAACATAATTTATCAGTATTAAAAGCATATTTATTCACATTTAAAGGTATTCACTTTTGTTGTTTAATGAATTGTGGAGCTTCAAAAATTATAAATCTTTTCCTATTATATTATTTTCCTTTAATAAGTAAAAACAAATTGTATAAAAAGTATCAAATATTTATTAATATATGTAATTATTACGTGGTATACATTGTTTACACATACAGAATTTTTACCTTTTACCAAAGTTCAAGGTTTTGAACACTTTAGGACAGTTTAAGACAGTAAAACCCACATGTCCTGTCCAAAACCAGTTTAGGATGTCCAAAACACCAACCCTGCTCTGAGGATTATGCTTTACATCTTTAGAGTTACTGAAGGAGTCAGCCTGGCCTTTATACTAAAATATTTGCTGACCCCTACTCCATACAGTAAATTAACTCACATCTTTTTCATTAATGAAAAATTCCTATCACAAGTTAGGAAAAAAAGAGACCTCACAATGTAAAAAGTAATCAGTTTCCGTAAATTGATCAGAATCTTTCATAAATCTAAAAAGGAATTGATTTTTCCAGTTTAAAAGGCTTGTTTTTTTACTTTTGCTTTTAGTGTCAATCCTAGTATTATGAGAATTGTCTGATTTCTTTCGAATAATCACTAACAAAGATCATAATATTATTTACAGAAACATAAATTGGAAAAATACTGTTCACAAAAAAAATTCACTAATACTATAAAAATACTAGATTCTTAAGAATAAAAACCATAACGTGCTGTCCAGTAAACATTGAGACGTTCTCCCTCTGACGTTCTTGCGCCGCTTAGGTTTGCTACATGCTTTCTTCCAAAAGCATTAAAAGTAGTTTCATTAAGATAACACACCCCAACTGAGAGGAATGCATGATTCCTTTTGCTAGAGGCCAAAATAATTATGCAGTTCGAGAAAAACAGGTTCTTACATAAACTGAAGCATCACTTCTAGTGTTGCACTTAAAGGTGAACAGGATGCCACGGAAAAGGAACCTGTTGACATAAACAGCAATTCATAAACTCAAAATGGCAATGGCTCGCAGGACAATGATGAAGACACATAATATAATTATAAGCATTGGAAATACTAATCTAAGTGCACTGTTGTACAGACAAGAGCTCTATTTATGCTTTTAGAATTTACATACTATTGATGCCAACAACTAGGTGTCTAATATGAGCTATTTTATTTTATAACCATCGCTAAACAGCCAACCCAATTTTATGGGTTTACGACTACTAATGTTCAACTCCGTAGCCTTGTAATTTTGAACCTAATCCTGAAGACAAAGGAACTCCTGGATCGAGTATCAGGAGAAATTTGCCTTCGTTGAGGACTTCTTTTGATGGAGCTAACCTGCATTTGCGTTACATGGAGAGGTAGACCATGAGAACCTTCCATGGTTAGACTGACGGCTAGGAGACTCTAACCCATGATCTGTCTACCATTGAGGATATTTCACGTCAGCACTGTGGTTGGGGCAAGCCGGATGTGGAATTCGTATCGACTGGGATTCGAACCCGGATCGCCTCATTGGACGGCGAACGCTCTATCCCCTGAGTCGTCGCAGCTCAACATTAGCTATTAAAATCCCTGTGCTGATCCTTAATTTTGACGGAAAAAAATTCCATATTATGCAGCAACTGATAACTCCGCTCCCTGGTGGCAAGCCCCTCATTCACCTAAACAAATGTAAATAAAGCCCAAATGTAAGCAAACATCAGCATTTAGCTAGTATTCCATTGATTAATGCAATCGGCGATCGGTCAATAGACAAAACGTTACAACATTCTAGACTTTCGCAAGCAGAAAGGCTTTTTAGCTCTGAACTAAAGCTCTTTGTTATAAGAAAGTTGACCCATAAAAATGAATCATTAGATTGAAGTTATAGCTGCACCAATTCTCAAGTTTGTTGATACTTCTGTGATCTCAACTTTAATATAAAATAGACTGCTTGCTTGGAAACGATTTATTTAAGCCAAATATTTTAAAATAAATAATAAAAGGGTAATGATTATGAAACACCATTAAGTGTGGGTATGTAAGGGCAGTTAAATTTTGTTTCTGCCCAAGGGCTCTGAAGAGGATTAATCTGGTGACTCAGAAAGAATAATCCTCTTACTCCCAATAAGAGGTGACCCAGGTTCGAATCTCACAGA